CCGGCCTGAGGCGGCGGCGGCGGCGGCGGCCGGAGCTCAGCATGACCCTGAAGTGGAGCCGCAGTGACAGCGTGAGCAGCATGCGCACGGCGCTGTCCGACCTCTACTTGGAGCACCTGCTGCAGCACCGGCCCAAGCCTGAGGTAGGCGGCGCGGGGGCGCCAGGCCGCCCCCTCCCTGCCGTGCAGGACCCGCGCGGGGTCGGTGCTCGGTGCTGCCAGCCCGCGGTTCCCAGCTCCTCCAGGCACCTCCCCGAGCTGGGAGGGAGCCAGGCCCCTGGCATCCCATGTGGCAGGGACAGGCCAAGGGGGGACCCCAGAGATTCCGGCGCCCCAGCCTGGTTGGTGACGCTCCAGAGCATCAACCCTGGGCAGGTCCAGCCCGGCCCGAGTCAGGGAGAGCGAGCGAGAGCCCCAGAGCAGAGCGGCGGCTGCCAAAGCGGAGAAAGGGGGGTCTTTTGCGGGGGGCCTCCTCACAGGTCTCCGCAGGCAGAGGGCCGGGTGTGCAGACAGGCGAGGGTACCCCCAGCAGCCAGCCAGCCCCTCCTTCGGTGAGGAAGCCAACAGCTCCCCCGTGGTGCAGGCTGGGCGCTTGCTAGCCCTGTGGGGAGAAAGGGCTTCCATTCCTTTTGCTTTGGCTGGGATGCTGCTGTGGCACTTAGGCTGGCAGGTTTTCACAGACCCTTGGGGCACTGATGACAGGCTTGCTTCGCTGTTGGGATGAGTGCATTTGGGTTTCATACCAGGCAGCCTAGAAAAGCCCCGCAGTAGAAGGGACATTATCGTAGGTCCTCAGCTGCAGCATCCTGGTGTGTGTGTTGGGCTAGTGCCTCAGCTGCTAACTTCACTGGGACAGAGTCAAAGACACTAAGAAGTTTAATGTTCAGTTGTAGTCAGTCCTGGCTTACCATCTTTGTTCTTCCGTGCCACTGGCAAAGCTGGCTTGGAAAGGCACAGGGCTCGGAGCTAGGACAGCCCGGTCTTTTCTTAGTTTCTTTGTAAGCTTTTGAACAAATTTTTGTACCTGTCTGTGCCTCAGTTTCTCCATCTGTATGACAAAAGAGTAAACATTGCCCCCTCTCCACTTTGAGATCCTTAGCTGGAAGGCACTATATTGTTATTGCAAAGTGTCATGTTGCTGCTGCTGCTCTCTCTCTTTCTTTCTTTTTTTTTTTTAAATTTTTCATGTTCCAAGCCAAATCAAGTACAAATCCGTGAGTCAGTCCAGAACCATAAGTGGCCCTACTACCGGCAAACATCCTCCACCCCTACCAGGGGCTTCAGATGTTTCCAACATCTTTTGGTGGGCATCCTACGTACAGGCCCAAGTCTGGAGGCTTGGGGTTTGGATGCCCTCGTGTTTCACTTGCCCTCAGCCATATGGCTGCAGGGGCAAGCTAGAGAGGAGCTTCCCATTTCCATAAAGCGGGCTTAAAGCCGCAACACCTCAGCGGGTACTGAACCATGCCAGAAGAACAGTTATCCCCCAGGTGCTTAAGAAAAACTGCCTTCATGGACCCAGATACATGGTGTTTCCCCTGCCAGTCATGATTCTGATTTGCCCCATCCTTCCCTTCTCAGACAGCTTCCTCAGTATATTGAAGTTTTCCATAAGGTCACCAGATGGCTACAGCTGCCTTTGCTGACGGGACAGGGTTATGGCTACTCTTGGTAACACCCAGGGGACTGGTGCATGAGACACCTGTTCATTCTCCTGCCTTGCCCTCCTCTGCCCCATCTCCTGAGCTGGCAGGGATGGCAATGCTACTTTTCATGCTGGTATACATCTGGAGTGACTCTTGATAGTTTACAAGACTATGGCATGGTTGCCTGCAACATCAAGAGATTGGATTAGATCCACTCCCCACAAAGTCCCTTTCAATTACTCTGAACTGCTCCCTGGCTGTTGGGGGAGCAGTGCTGACTAGGCATAGAGGGGGCTGAATTCAGCTCCTGCCAGAATGACCATTTTGGGGTGAGGGTACATTTCCAGCTGGGTTGGTAGAGGCCTGGTAACCACCTTTAAAATGGTCCCTATTCTGTTTACCTATTACCATCCCTGTACCATGCATAAATGAGTGTCCACACTAGGTGGAGGGGAATTTGAAGCTACTAGGAAGGAAAAAAGATTTGCTATCTGACTCAGTCTGGGTAGGGAGGGGATAGCAATCTGGGAGTTTCAGAATCAAATTAAAGAGAAGCTCTTTTTTGGTTTTGCTGGAAAGTTGTAGCTGGTCTGAGCTGGAACTGCCTGTCACATGAGCTGATTCAGCGACTGAGCAACCTCAGGAAGCAGGTCCACAGATCAGCCCAGCAGAGATGTGACAACAGATTTTCAGCCTTAGGAAAATGGGGCATTGCTGTTGCCTTCCTCAGTGAGTTGTTATTGTGTGGCAGGCTTCATATCCAGCAGCAAGGGGCAGGGTAGTCATTCAGGAAAGTATCTATCTATATTGTGTCCCACTGCTTAAAGGGACCATGTCACCAGCTGGTGCAACTTGGGGCTCTCTAATGCAGTGGGCAGCAATTTACAGCACCTGGAAATCCAGCCCTTGTTCCAGCAGTGTCCAGGAGGTGATGAAAGCATTTAGCATTCAGGCTACACACACCCAGGGTTGGGCTATTACATAGATATGCTGCTTTTTTTAAAAAACTCACAAGCACAGGGAGGAAAGCAGGAGTCAAGATTGAAACTTTTGTTCTTAACCCACCCTGTTGTGCAGTAGAAACCAGCAAGAAGCACTGCCCCACACCACATGTGCTGATGCAGCAACCTTTTAGCCAGTACTCTGGAGTCGCTTATTTTTGTGGTTTATATCTGGCACCATGATGAAAACTCTTTAAAAAATGTCTGAAATGTGCATGGAAGGTGGCATTTGTACATCTAAGACAAATCAAAGTAAATCCCTCTAGCTGCCCAGAGTGGGTACTGATTGTTGTTGTTTGACTGATTTCAGTGGAATGATGAACATCTGCTGAGGATCTGCCCCTAGTCTCTCCTGCTCAGTATCAGGATATCATTACAGCAGCCATGGGCTGAGAGTGACACGGGTGATGCACTTGGTCTGGTGAAATCAGAAACAGCCATGTGTAGTGGGACGGTAAAACACATAAGCAGCTGGGCTCCCAGTGGGCAGGGATGGCACAGGGCTGCATTGTTTTTGTAGGTTTAAAGAAACCTAGAGAAGGCTGAGTGTGAATGGCTTGGTACAGCATTCCCTTGTCAGGTCCTGCAGACTCCAGGTGATGGAAAGTTCCTCGTTCATTAGATGAATCTAGGTCTGACAGTAACACCTGACATGCTTCTCCATTTATGGAGGGATGTGTATCTATCCCTGTTCTACCCCTGGGTCAAATGGAGTGAGTGGTATTCTTCCTACTCACCTTTTATTTTGCCTGGACTCCCAACCCTCTGAGAAGGGACAGGGCTATTGCTCTAAAAAATAACCCAGAATCTTCTTCCTCATTTCTCCCTTCTCTCTTGCTTTGAGATGCATGCATTTCTGTGAATCTGCCCACAGTCATGGTCTTTTAATGAAGGCCTGGTGTCTATTCCCACCTCTGACACTGGTCTATACTGAGTGACTTCGGATCAGTTGTCTCCCTGTACCTCAGTTTCTTCCTCTTTACAACAGTGCTTCTTTTGCTATTAGGGAGGCCTGCCTGCAGTTCAGTGCGTTAGTGCATGAGCTGTTAACGTTTGCTCATGTGGGTTCCAGTTCTGACTGGAGACACAGGAGGAATAAATAGGGCTTCAGAAGTTCAGCCTTGCCCTTGCATTATCAGAACCTTGGGGGAGGTCTGGCATTGATACAGTGAGTGGTGGATGTTTCAGCTCTGGATCGTGGAGCATTGGCAGAGCTGGGTGAGTTATGAATGTACACCAGCCCCTTCACCTGCTGGTAGCCAACATTGTTGGCTCCCTCTGGCTGATGCTGCAGAAAGGCTTAGGTGTTTTGGGAGCCTAGGTCCCATTGAAAACCAGCAGGACAGAGGCTCCAAGTCACTAGTTCCCTGACGGCAATATCAGCTCTTGTCTTGCTGTGAGCAAAGCAGCCATTTTTCCTCTTGCCCTGAGCAACAGATCCTGCCCTCCTATGCTGCAATGCTCCAAGCCTCTGAGGGGCCTGGTCTTGGCCTCTGTGTTTCTTTGACCTGATACATATCTTGGCACAGCTGTTCTTGGATGTCTGTCCCAGCCGTATGGGCAGCACAGAATCAGCAGTCCCCAGGGTGCCTTTACCCCTGAACATAGGAGTTGGGGTTTCAAGGGCACAGGCTGACTTGGAAAAAGTGACCCTGAGTAAAGCAGGCACTGGAGCACATCATCCCCTTCGTGTTTCATGGCAGGGACATTAGAGTTTTCATTTGACTTTTGGACCAGGATAAAGACTTTTAAAAAGATCTAATTGCTGTTAAATGAGCTGTCCTGTTAATGTTTGATATCTTTATGTGTATCAGCACTCTGCAGGAGCTGTGCAGAGGCTTGGCTAGAGTCAAGGCCTTGCCTGCCTTAGCTTGGAGCTGCTCGAAGAGGTTTTTACGTACATTTTAGGTTATTCTGAAATTTCCAATGAGTCCCCCCCAACTTCTTTCCTCTGATCTGGGCTCAGCCCATTTTAGAAATAAGAGCCACTGGCAAAATTCAGGTTAGGAGTTCAAATCCTTCCAGCTGTGGCAATAGTATCTGGTGGCTGATCTGTATTTTGAAGTCACTGGGGCTCCTGAGGGTATTTGTTTTGCTCAGTGGCTTAGCAAACCCACCCTTCCTTTTTCCCTGGAGATGTTGAACCTGAGGTGAGAACAGAATTATTCTTGTTCAAAGGCATCTGAACACAGAGCTTCTCCCTTGCTTTGCTGCCCCACAAAATCAGGTCAAGGTCCCTTCCCTTGCCTCCTCCCCACCCCCCCATTCCCTTCCACATACAGTCCTACCACTGACAGGCAGAGCGCAGCATGGTTTGTCTGCAGAGCTCCATTAAAGACTGCCTCAGCTACCCATTCTGTGGCTATTCCTTTTAACCTCAGGAGCTCCCCTGGCCTGGAGGAAGGAATGGTGAGTCCTAGCCTGAGCCCTGCACTTGGCAGGATGTAACCCTAAGCTCTGACCTTGCTTGGGCCCTGCACTCCTTCTCAGACTGCAA